AGTTTGGGCCCTACCTAAGCTAGTCGAACGTTTCGTTTGGGTCTGTACCCTAGCTGCACTGATGAGGCCTGGAAGGCCGAAATGGATCCGTCTGCAGATATTGGGATTCCTTCCAGTGGATGCTTAGTTTATTTTGTCATTCTGGTCGAATTTTCTCTACTGTTCCGTTTTAATTTTAATTTTAAATTGTTTTGCATTATATGGCCGTTTGCTGTTTTATGGGTTATCCCCATTTGCCTTTCAAAAAATCACCCATACCTTACACACACACACACACACATACCCGTGTGTGTGTGTGTGTTGGTGTGTGTGTAAGGTATGGGTGATTTTCATATATGATATTGCTTCTCTGCTCATTACATTAATGTCATGTTTATCTTGGTAGTGTTATGTAAAAACTTCTATAGATGTTTTAGCAAGAGGGCGTAGCCCTGTGTTACTACCCAGTTATATATAATTCTAAGTCTAAATTATATATTTTATTATGAAATATAAGTTTAGTAACAAGGATGCATAGCCTAAGAAGGCAAATGCTACTTTAATATGAATATAACCTAGTAAAGTTGTATCATAGTGCAGAGGGCAATTCCGAGACAGCGTTTATTCACAACAAAGTTCACCGATAATAAACCGCTAACTCATATTCACACATAAACTAAACTTGGAACACCAGAGACGAGGGATGGCAGATTTGGCTCTGTTTTAATTCACAATCAAGTACCACCCTGGGAAGTCCCACCATGGACCTGAACCAACGTCAGCACGTTTTGAAGAAGTAACAAAGTCCATTACGCTGTTTGTTGAACAACCATCATTCAACACTCTTTACCCAATTATATCCAACCAAGAACAGAAGAGATGCTTATCGTAGAAGGGTTAAACGCCGAGACTATTGGTAAGGATAGAAAGTTAGCATCCACAACTATTCCTGAAATTCCAACTGTTGATATGATACACTTGCAGCATGCTGACCATAGTATAGGATGGTCGTTAAATTATTTGAAAATTAGGAGGCTGCCAGTGAAAAGGCAATTGGAAAGAGAACCAAATGAAGTTAAAAAGCTACTCAGGGAATGGTCCAGATTGTCTGAGAGTGGAGAAGTGTTGTATAGAAATATTTTAGTCTCGGATGGTGGATCAAATACATACGTAAAAGAATGGTTCGTGAGATTCGAGGTCCCTCATCGTATTTATAGTGACCAAGAAAGTAATTTTGGGGGCAATGTTATATGCGATTTATGAATTACTAAACGACATTAGCAAGTCCAGAACCACACCTTACCATCCACAGGGTAATGTTCAGTGCGAGAGATTTTATCGAACAATGCATGATAGTTTACGCACATTGGAATCAGTAGCTAAAAGAAATTGACCTGATCACCTGTCAAAATTAGTATAGTGCCTACAATGCCACACCTCACTCTTCCAAAGGTCATTCACCGTATTACTTGTTTTTTGTTTGTGAGCCGAAATTAACTATTGACCACATCTAAGGAAATGGAGTGGATGCAGGTGAGATCGGATGTGTTGATGAGTGCATGATTGAGCATCACAATAGATTGAAAACAGCATTTCAAAACGCATTGGCAGAAACGGAAAAGCAAGCTCTGGCACGAAGAGAAAGAAAGGACTGCACGGTAGATGAGGTTGGTGCATGATATTCCTTAGAAATCATCCCTTAGGCAGAAATAACATGCAGGACTACTGACTGTCCACGCTTTAAGTAGTGATCAACGACCCGATCCAAATGGAAACGTGTATACCATACAAACATTGACTGGGGCCGAAAAAAGAGACTGTTAACAGGAGAGAATTGCTACAATTGTAAAGAGAGATAACAAAGGGGAATTAATCCGAAATAAAGAAGATATCTAAGGAGAAATATTCATTTTTGTTGAACCATGTAAAATAGCAAAATTAAGTATCGATCACTACGAGTGATTCTTGTCAAGTGAAGATGGTGTTGTGACTTATGACATCATCGGTCACGTGACAACGATCACTGGTCATGATCGAAAAGTAAATAGGTAATTTTGCTATTTTACATTGGTTTAACAAAAATGAATATTTCTCCTTAATTATCAAATTGGAACCAGATGAATTTGTTCGCTAAAAAAAATATATCATTTGTAGACAAAATTTAGATACGGACCGACAGTTCTATGGATATCCACAATAATGACACCGATCAATCTAAAGGTGAAACAGAAAGTTTGACAATTACACAACCATCACAAAATAAAGCTAAAGAAGAAAAGCAGGTTGCAGTTGATAATGTCATCTTGGGAGAATTCAGCAAGATGCAGTTGCTATTTGCACAGATGTTAGCTGGAAAGTTTGGTAAACATCAGACTCTAATTTTAGCAATGTTTAAAGGATAAAGCTGGGGAATATTTGACAGCTGGATTTCGAATTTTTTTCCTTATTTTCCTATTTCTATTTTTTTACTCTATATTATTGTATAGCATAACATATTGATTTGATTTGTTTGTGACAACAGATAAAGCTGGAGAGTTTGTAAGGTATGGGTTTAACCCATTTCCTTATACTGTAATCATTATCCGTTCATTATATTAATACCATGTTTATCTTAGTAGTGTTATATTAGTAGTGTTATATGTAACAACTTCTACAGATGTTTTAGCAAGAGTGCGTAGGCCTGTGTTACTACAGTTGTCATATTCAGTATTGCTTAGGAACGGCATAGGAGCTATAGTAGACGGAGGATTGTGATATACGATTATATCATTCCTTGTGAAGCACTGTAATCCAAGCTTGACATATTGTGCATACAGTGCCTGGTCAAGTATGGGGTTTTGTTTTAAGTAATGGGTTTTGTTTTAAGTAACAAGTAATTGTCAGTTTCCGGATCATGGTTTTGTTATTCGAACAAATAAACGACATCAGTGAAGATACATCATCGTCCCTAGACTGTGTCTGTGGTGCCAACCATTTCAAGACTCCTATATACGCCACTACGTATTAGCATGGTACATACCTAAGGAGAATGCTAGACGACCTATGGGCTGATCATCACTAATAGCCAGCCCTGGTGAATTATACATTGTATACAGTTGTTAGTGCCTTATCTCTCTCCTTTATTGCAAAATAGAGTGCGACTGCTTAAGATGTGGGCACATCAAATAGATATCAGTTTAACAAAGTTCCAGTTGGTTTAAGCATCTGCATGTAAAGTAGACCTGTGTCAGAACCCTGGTTTAGAAGAATCTAAAGAATCAAAATCTTGCATCCTATCCCAGCCAATTTAAAATATTCATCAGCTTTCTGCATGGTTTACTTTAACTCCACCCAGTTCTAGGAGGTACCGATCAGGATTATCATCCCATCTTCCTGGTCGTTTGACCTGAGAAAGAAATTGCACTTTAAAAAACAGCAAAATTTAAATTCATTCTTTTATTTTCAAGAAAACCATTTCACAAGATAAAAAAGAAGTATACAGCCTCTACATAAACAATAGCAATGCAATTATCAAATGCTATTACTATTTTAACCTTGTTTGTTTTGACAGTAATTAGGTTCAGTTTTCTAAAGTTCCACGAAATATGTTTAAATCACAAGATATAATTAATTAATCATCGCATTGGGTGCTTTATGTAATCACGTCCACAGACAACAGTGGGCGCACAGTGTGCCGAGGTTTAGTGTATATGTGTCAGTGCATGAAGTAGAGGCTTACATCAATGCAAAAAAATGGTCCAAAAAAGTACAAAAATAAATAAAAGCAACCAACATCCAAAACATTTGTTATATATTCTCTACATGTTAATTGGTTGTTGCTTGTTTAACAATATCTGTATTAGATTATGGCGCCAAGCTAGTTATCTGTAGGTTGTGGGTTCAATTCCCACCCAAATCACTTGCAAATTTTTTTCACAAGTATTTGGCAACATACGGAGTATTCGGAACGAGAACACGACAGGTAGGGCAAAACATCACCTCCTATAACGTCTGCATTGAAGATGTAAATGAAGTTATGCATTTAAAAAAAGCTAAAAGCTGTACAACTTTTGCTGGCATTATAAACATACCTTTAGATTTTTTTCAGCATCTTTAACTTCTCGTTGTTTTTGTTTCAGTTGTTCTGTCTTAGCAGCATCTCCACCACAACCCCACACCTTCCAAAAAATAAAAGGAACATTGGTTGGTAATGCAGTATATTGTTAAATATGATCATATGTTGACAAGGAACAGGAGTGGAGTATAACCTAATGGTTAGGATGCTTGCATTCGAATCTCAGGGTCATGGGTTTAATTCTTGTGACAGCAGGTCTCTTTTCAAAACTCCACCTCTCAAGTCTCATATAAAGCATCATCCATCATGCAACTGGCAACTTTTTAATGGATGCGAATGAGAAAAAAAAAACTTTTTCTTTAATATCATTTAGACAAATTACAAATTACTAGCTTACCTTGCTAGCTTTTTTAATTTCCTTTCATACTATTCCTCAATAGTAAAAACAGATACAAAACAAGAATGAAGAATGAGAACAGTAGAAAAAAATAGGCTCCCAGTGGGAGCCTGTGTCTAACTGCTAGACATGGTTTTCTTTTTGGCTACTCTTAACTCATTCACGCTTTGTGTGTTGGCATATCACTTGAATATCTGTACAAGTACAGTATATACCAGATTGTTGACTTTTTAGTGTACTTTGAAGGACAGGTCTTATCTAGCAGCTTCCTGTGTTGGCAATTTCACTTGAATAACTTAACTAAGACAGGTCTTACCCAGCATGGCATCATATTTCTTACTTTTCATTCGTATCTTTAGCTTATGACCCATCCGATCATTCTTCCACCAGATTTACTCTTACAAGGTCAATTGCCAGAAGTTAGCTGCCCCAGGACACAAAAATGGAGAAACAACAGTGAAGAGAAGGAATTCAAAAAGAGAGTACTAAATCACTGTTACTGGAATGTTAATCAAACTTAACTGACCAATCAATACTTACGTACCACGCAAACACGTGTGTTGTCCAAGAAACATTACGTTTATGAAGGTACATCCTTTAAACGACCTCAGGATCCATAACCGCAGGGCAACAGAGCACATGTTTGCTTTTGTTTTTACGGGTTTAGCCAGAAAAACGAAATAGGCTGTCCAAAATATGCTTTAGTTTAATGCAACATTTGATAGATTCGAAGAATATAAAGAATTTGCTAAAGTACACCGGCCAACTAGGGTAGGCCAAGCTTAGTAGACCAAGCCGTCTAAGCCATCATGGTAAAAGTGGCCATCCTAAATAATTGCTGACCGTCCAAAAGACGGCCGCACGGCTCGCTGGCTAAGCCCTTGCTTTACACTGTCGTTTTGTGGGACCTTAGCCACAAAATCTAATGGTCAGGGATTAGCGGAAAAGTCCTTAAACATGATTTAACAATTTTCTTTTAGTTTTTGGTGTAGTTTTATGCTGAATAAGTTACTGCAATTTTGTTGTACTTCCTGAATCACTTTGGAAATCAATGCACAGACATTATTATTGACATACCTCAATTCTTTTTAAATTATACGTTTCCATTTTATATGTAACCTCTTCCATTCCGGATTCAATAACAAGCACTGGATTCTTACGATTCCGGCCAATACTAATTCCTTTAGCAATATTCCGGGAACGCATGTTGAACATTGCCATTCCTTCACCTTCTAAAAAAGTTATTTCAAAATCATATATTAATGAGCAGCTCACAGATGAGAGGTCAAAAGATGGTAATAGTTTATATTATGATGAAAACATAAAAGTGGCATATAATAGCCTTTAGAATAAGCTACATTACTAATAGCTGAGGGAGGTGCAAAAAATAGATGATGGCATGGCTAAAGTTACAAAATTTAACTGAACAGTAAATGTTGAATCTTTGATAGTGAAAAGGAGGGGGATTTTTTAGGGGGGAGGGGGAACCTGTGTGCTCATTCTGATTCACAATTGCATTGACCATGAGGTCAGAGTTCAAATTCTGCTTTACATAAAAAGTAGTCTGTTTTAGACTTCTTGTGACATCATCATCACAATAATCATTATCACCATCATCATAATCCAAATAATCATCGCCACCAACATCATCATCATCATTATCAACAATTATTATTAATCAATATTACTATGATATATGTTTCAAATTCTGTGGTGTTTGTGTTTTTCAATATTCTTTTTTTGTATTTTAAGAAAACATTTTAATCAAACATTTTTATTATATTTTAAACTTCTCGCAATTCATTTTTTTACTGTCAGTTGAAGTAAATAATGAAATCTGTATCTAAATCTGAATAGGTCTTAAAAGATCCCTCCAAATAATGACCACCTCCAATTAAAGACAATCACCAAAAGACTAACCCTGGTATTCTTAAAACAAACTTTAGTCCTAGAATTTTCAGTGACTGTTCAAATTCTCTATCGTTATAAGTTAACAACTAATATAGTTATTATTAAAGAAAAATAATTAAGCGAATTAATTTCTATTATGAATTATGAGGAAATAGGTTTTTCAACCAAAGACAGCAGCTTAATATTCATTCGCATTACCGGATCTCTAAAATTTCATCTGCTATTAAAATTAGCCCTTTTTATTGGTTAGTTTGATAGTCGTTGCTTGCCAGCCGTCTTCAGCTGAACTAAAACTAGGACTTGATTTAGTTGTAGTTAAAACTTTGACTACATTATTTGTGAATACAAATTGAAGTTGAAGTTGCAACTAGGACTAAATGAAGTTCTAGTCCGAAGTGTGACTAAAGTTTGTTCTAAGAATGTGTTCGTTAGACTACATACCTTCTATAATTTCATATTTAGATGTAAGCATGACACAGGCACAATTGACACCACCGATGCTCCCTGTACCATCTCTGAGTCAAAGAAGAAAGCTAAACATAATTATGACACCAAAATGGTCACCCCCCCCCCTCCCAAAAATGAAATCATGCTGAAGTAGTTAAAAATCCCTCAAATTACCTAATCTTGCGAGCTAGTTCCCCCTCAACTAATCCTCGAGACCCCCCGCCCAACTTCACCTTCACCCCCATCAATTCCTCCATTTCAAGACTCCTAGGTATGCCATCGCATTGCCTCTCCCGGTAATATGATACAATAATCGATCATACACAATCTGTAAGCTCCTCCTAGTTGCATGCTACCAATTTCTTTTCACATTATTCACTACCTACTAAGTACCCAATTATTCTACTGAGTGAAGTGCAGCAAACATAGATAAAGTGTCTTCCACATAGGCACAAGCAGTGTTACCAGTATCAAAATCAAACAGAATGATAGTACGGTAGTTGAAGCCCAAGGCCTTCACTTTCACTATGTCATATGGCTCCTACTTTAATGTGATTTTATACTCTATTATTAAATAAGGTCTTATAAATGAAGAGCTCACCTCCACTCAGAATCAAGAGCTACAGCTATCACATGATCCTGGAATGCCACCAAGGTGACGGTCGGTCCTCGGTACGCAAGAACATGATGCTGAAATCGGTTCATGCTCTGCCCGTGCTCTGAACTGTTGTACAATGGCATAAAATACTGCTTCTCTGCCTCCTACTTACAAAGAGAAATCAATAACACTTTGAGAAATATTAAAAATTTATGAAAGGAGTGCTTCTAATTATTTTTTTAAAGCCATGGAAAAAAATTCTCCATCATAACAACATTGTCTTTTTCGGTCAAAAAATATTTCCTGGGCGGCAGAACTGTAAAACTACAAATTTATACAAGGTTTCTTTCTTCTATTCTTTAAGTCACATACTTCCTATCTTGACTGTGAGTGCATCATCTACAGCCATCATTACGAAGAAGAGTACCGACTGTAAAACAGTTTTTGATCCTACACCCTTTTGTTACATTCTCCCTAATTGCCTAATTTTGGTCAGTTTTCGTTTTTTGTAATTTATTTCTTCATATTCCTATCAAAAGTTTAATATGTGATTATCCTTCAAACGTTCATGTTCAAAAGGAAAATAAACTTTGGTTTGATTTGAAAACTATTGCTTTTGTTGTGATGAAAATTCAAATAAATCATATTGAAGTTAATTGTTATACCTTCTCTTGTCAAACTATCACAATATTGGTTTATGTACATGACTTTTTTGTATGGATTGTTGAAATAATTTGCTTTAACAACTGTTTGTACTCACATGATTAGATGCACTTTGAAAATTAGTGTAGAGAGATGGAAGGCTACAGCTGAACAGCCACCAGGAGGCCATATTCAGGAGCTGGTCAACAGTCTTGCATGGACCATCACTATAATCAACACCCTGCAGAATTGCAATGCTTTAGAAATTAACAATAGCAACACCAGCAAAAAACAAAAGCAACAACAACAATAATAGCAACAACAAAATTATAATAAAAAAAATAATTATTATACACAAGAAAATGACCATTGTTGAAGCCCAAACCGCCAATACTACACTACTCCAACTATTCCTACAAATAAACATTTAGAATAGTATTCTGACCTCTGACATGCCTGGGCGTGTTATCTGTGTCGTGAGCCAACAATGTACTTCAGGTACAAGACCAGGACAGTTTGTCAGAATATAATTTTTAGCTTCAGCAACAGATGTTGTGAGACCTGTTCTTACTGACATCATTGTATTCTTCTCTGCCTCTGATGCATTATGGGAAATTTTGAGGTTTGTAAGGAACAAGGTAAAAGCAGTTCCAACAAACTCTTCAACATCTTAAAAAAAAAAAATAAATAAAATCAATTTTTCAATTTCAAAGTAATTACAGTCTAAAACAAGATGATTACCTTTGCAAAAATCCTAAAATTAAATTATATGTTTAAATATTGACTCAAACAATGATAAAAATGTTAATAAAAGTAGACAACCATTATTTTGATGTTTTATTATTTAAATGACATTACAACATAAAAAATATTTTGACCAAAAAATAAATAAACCTTGAATCTTGAATATAAAATAAATTTGTCTAATCTAGAAATGAAAGACATGTAATGAACACACAAATCGTTTATAAAATTATTGCTACCACCTTCTTCATGATGTGTTCCGTCTTGTGACACATAAAGTGAGAGATAGTATCCCACCTTATCCACTGCCGATTCCATAAGTAGAATGTTAGAAAATAATGTGGACACATTGTCAAAGAAGTCTCCATGTTCTGAACATAGTATCCGGTAGATTCTGCACACAAGAGGGTGTCCTTCACATGGAAACAAATTCTATGAAAACATAAACAGGGTTTTTTGTTAATAAATATTTTCCTGGTAATATTTGGAGAAAATATTCTAATAGAAATCATGTATTCTGCGTAATATGAGACCAAATCCTGTTCTCCTTATTTTAGTTAAAATTTTACCAAAACCGGATTTTTTTAAAGTTAAACCAATTACATATTTATGCATAACTTATTGGAATTTCTCTTTAAATATTTGTTATTTGTCATTATAGTCACTTTAGCTAGCATTTGTCACCATTGAGTAAGTGGAAACATTCGATGGCTCTGAAAACACGAAAATTATTAAAAAACAGGTTTTTTGGCCAAAAATGGTAATAAATTTTTTCCTGGTATTTTGTTTGTAAATTGTTCTATTATAGCGAATAGAAACATGAGTCTTCCGAACCGTTTGATACCAAAATGAACTCTGTATGAAAATAGTAACCGAAATACAGATTTTTTTGCCCAAAAAGCGGAAATTTTGACCAATTTTGCTTGGGATCCACCAGATTTGTAATCAGCATGGTCAAAATAACCTAAATCAAGTGGATCCCAGCTTCTACCCAAAAATGCCATTTGAATTGTTACAGAGGATGATTTTTGAGAAATGGAACCAGTCTAATACAGCAACATGAGGACGCAATGACAAAGAATAAACAAAAAACCGCTTCGTAAACATAAAGAACTAGAATTTGTGTAGAAGAAAGCTGGTAAATCAGGAAATTTTTTTTTTTGATTTGTGTAATTGGTAACTTATTTAATAATTTTAAAGAGAATTTTTAATAGTGTTTTAATAAAATGTTTTTTAGAATTTTTTTTGACAAAACATATCAATATGGTCTGGCTAATATGGAAAAGTATTAATAATTACATACAAAGATATATATAAGGTGGCACTCACTTTAAAATGTGCTTCAGTTACTGGACCATTCTGACATTTATCTTTAAGCTTCTGGAAACAAATTATAATTTTTAAATGATTACAAAATTTACTGTAAATCTGATGTGATCATCACATTAGAGTATTATTTTAAATTATAAATTCTAATATCAGCATATAATAATAGTAATAATAATGATGATAATAATAATAATAATAATATTAATTATATAATAAATTGACATATATATAGTGCATATTGCATAGACTGCCTCTATAAGCTTTATATCAACTAAAAAGGATTTAATACAAAATATATCACTGTCTATAATTTACAATGGCTGGGCCATAATTTCTCCAGCAGCAGGGTAAAACTGTGATAGGCAGGGCAAAACTGCAGGGTGTTTCCATGGTGATCAATTTTGTTAAATAACATTTGCTAGTCTGGACAGGGCTTTAGGAGGTAAATCTACCTGAAGCCAATGCATTTTTGGGTCCGTGGAAGGCACTGACCCAGAGCCTCACTGCTGTTCTTGTTCCCAGAACTTTAAAATCATCCAGCGTTGCCAGTTTTGAACGGACATGTCGGAAATTTTGTACCCATACATATGTTAAACTAGAGGTGATTTCCAACAAACGTTCATCACCCTTTTTTTAAGTAGGACCCCGGGGTTCCCCCTACACCTACACAAGAAAACAGGGATTTCAGCAAGGACTGTACATTACTGCCATTACCATTAACAGGGCACGTTGCATGGATGGCGCGGTTGGTTAAGGATGTGTGTTCTAAAGAACTTAAGGTTGTGAGTTCAAATTGCGTCTTGGTATTTTTTTTAATTTTAAGATTTTAATTTTGTACAAATGAACATTTTAAATAATATGTTTTGTACAAATAAACATTCTAATTTAAAATTTCTACCTCAATTTCTAAAATTCAATATCATAACTTGCGCCTGTACCGTATTTAAGCGTGGAGGAACGCGCGGACTGGTGAGCAGTCGCCCTTGTTGGTAATCAATTTGAAGTTTTAAGCAGATTGTATTTCTGCACAGAGTTTACCACACAGTCAACAATGATGAAGATTATGATGTTGATGATCAGGGTTGTATGTGTAGGGTGGGTGATAGACCTTTTAAGGGTGGGTGGGTGATAACACTGGTAAAACTCTAAATAATGAGAGTGAATTTTAAGGATGAAAAAGTGGGTTAATAAGGGTGGGTGGAGGGCCAAGAAATCAGCTTTAAACTGGGTGGAAAACTTGAAGGCTGGGTGGCTCCCGCCCACCTCTGCCTGCCATAACTACATCCCTGGATGATGATAGTGATTATCCCATTGCCAATGGTGACAACCAAAAAAACCCTATCATATTAAAATCTACAATTAAACATTCTCTTTTAATTTGTGTCAGAAGTACAGTAGTAGGCCTACCATACCTAGAGGAAGAGTAAACTGTATACACATTAAGATTAGTTAGATGATCTGCTAAATGTAAATTAAATATTATTTTCTATTACTTGGAGGAATGGCTGTAATCTTGCTGTTGTCACAGATTCTGCCATCTGCTCTTGATCTGTCTCCTTGCTGGCTTGACCACCCATATTTATTTTAACTTGTATTAGTCTTTCTCTTCAAGAATCTTCAGGAACATCTTTCTTTGAGGGATGTTGAGCAGTAACCTAAAACTTCCAAGGAAAAAAAGAATTGACTAGTTATGAAGTTATGAAGTTTTATAAATAGCAATCAGCCGGTGTAGGTTCGTTTTGGCCCTACAGTAAGTTGATTCGGCCGGGGTCCCTTTCGGCCTTGAGTTTTTCTGATCATTTCAGCTGCAGTGTATGGAGCGCCGAAGGTACTACTGCTAATAATACTTCAATAGAACAAGGTGGCTAAGCAGTATACTGTTTGTTAAACATGAAACTTAGGCTATGGTAGGTACATTACTGATTATTATTCTTAGAGTATTTTATTAATATTAGAGTATTAATTAATTAATCAATTAATTACAGTATGTATCAAACGGTGATCTTTCTTTTTACAGAAATAAAGTAAATGTTATAAGTCGATTAAAAAAAATTGGTTTGGAGACACATTTCTTTTATATATTTTTTACGATATATATTTTGATCATGTTTTTATAAATGCTTCAATAAAATTTAGATTTAAGTTATAGGCTTATAGTTAATTGAGAGGATTATTTTGTCATATGTTTGTTGTGTCTCCATTCATATTACCAAATGTTATGTTTATAACAATACATAAAATTTTTCCCAGCCTACACTCAGGAAATATGAATTACAGTGGCTTCAAGTGAACTCGGCCCTTAACCGACTCGGACCATACCGAGTCAGACCTTCACCAACTCGGCCCATGAACCAACTCGGCCCATGAACCAACTTGGCCCTTGTCAATTCGGTCTTAAACCGACTCGGCCCAAACCAACTCGGCTCTTGTCATCTTGGTCCTTAGCCAAGTCGGCCCATTCACCAACTCAGTCCTTAACCAACTCGGCCCATACACCAATATGGCCCTGAACTGACTTTGCCCTTGAACCTAAGCCTATTTCTAGTTGCATAACTCTATAGAGTACTGTATATAATTAAATTTTGTGGAAAGAATTGTTACAAATAAATTCCCATGGTACTCTTGAAGTTTATTAATAAATGTTACAGTATCACTTGGTGTTACTTATTTTTCTCTTTCTTTTTTTTTTTACAGAAGAAGCAACGCAAATGTTACTGGTCGACTGGTTTGAGACACGCCCTTTTTATCGCTTGTGGTGTTACCATTTAATTACGATACAGTATGTATTTTAATTATGTTTATAAATGTTTAAATAAAATGGAGATTTATGAAATAAGTATCAATAGTTGTCATTCGTTTGTTTTATTGGTTGTTACGTTTCCATTTACCAAGTTCTGATCATGTTTCTAAGTAAATTCATACTAACTGTTAAATGATATGATGAATGAAGATAAAGGAAATATATAGTATTTTCATACTTTCCATATAAAATTATCAATCTGTTTAACTATAACAGTACATTTTAATGGCCATTTTATTTTATCAGGCTTCTTTTATATTCATAAGCTCGACAAAATCACTCACCGGGCTATTTCTCTTTATTTATTTATTCCAAACCAATCGCTACTAACAGACAGTTATAAAAATCTAGCAAAAATCACAAACATCAGTTGCATAACTAGTATAATTTGTGGAAAGACGTCCACAGATACTGAGATTCTCATGTAACGGTACTCATGAGGTAGCAGACACAAGGTTTGTATTTTCTTGTTTGCTTCCATTTTTGATACAACAACATATTCTGGTTTTTATAAAATACACAAATAAATGGAAATATATAAAATAAGACTTGTCATTGTGATTCAATACTTCGAGAAATATATATAGTTTTAATATAATTTATAAATAATGTTATGGCCGTTTTGGACTTTTTTTTTAATAGCCCTATTAAATAAGCCGGAAAATGCACTACTGCGATGCTACAGTGTACTATTTGCCTGGAAACTTAAGTATAAAATCGGAAAGAAACTTTCCCACAAACAGGCTCCGGCACACCGCGGTATTCTTGAGGATGAAGTAGACACAACATCTTTGTACGGAATTCCTTTGTATGCCGCCTTCAGGAATGTGGGCGCACTCTGCCAAGACAGAAGTAGGCAGATGCTGCAGTAAAAATAGATGGCAGTGAAGGTGTCACGTGTGTTCACCTACTTCATAATTTCAAATCTTCTGCTGTCTGCTGATCATGTTTATAAAATACACAAATAAATGGAAAATAGTAAAATATATGTTTTATAGGCTGGGGTTTTTTAAGGTTTTATCTGGTTTTGAACAACCAGATGAATTTGTTTCAACATTAGTAAAATATAGTTTTAATATTATAAAATAAATAGAAACTAATACCCCATTCAGACTAGCATCGCATTGCGATCGGTTGTAGCAATTGCGACACCCAATCGCAAAGTAAAATCGTATGTGAAAGCTCACCAATAGTAGTCGATATGTAATCGATATCGCAATTGTTATCCGTTGCGATTGGGTGCTACAATCTTTATTACTCCCGAATACCAAGGAATCCGATCGCAACGAATCACAACAAATTCTACAGGCACTGTTTGGCTGAGGTCAGTCAACATAGGCCTAGCCACCGGAGGCCTAGGCTCTAGAATGTAAAGTTTGTTTGTTTTGGTCTGAATGCATTCGTTGATTGCGATCGGGAGTAATGAGTTTTGGATTACCACCGATTACATCGCAACCGATCGCAACAGAGTGTACTGTAGTCTGAATAGTGTAAACTATCTGATTGAATGGGGAAACCAAAATTAGAGATGGTCAGGATTCTAAAACCAAAGCCTTTGAAAGGTTCAAAAATCAATAACAAGAATGCATTTAATTCGAAAGATGATAGGATCATCTTTGAGGATCTCAAAGTCGGCATGTGGGTTTAATATTTTATTTTATATATTTAGTTTGGTTTAATTCTTACATTTCCATCCAGCGTTGGGCCCACGATTGTATAAATACGTAAAACATTGAAAACATTACTATGTTGATATAGCACCATAAAATTTTACAATAACAATGCCAATAATTAATACATGGTAGTAGCATTGTTAGATTATGAGTAGCCATGCTTGGAAGCAAGACACGCAACGACGGATAACAAGTAATAGATACAATAAAGCAGTATTACAGGAGAACAACAACTAAAGTTTATTCACAATAACATTTCAATATATACAGTACATAGGTAAATGGTGA